TTTTGAGAATAGCATTGTTAGAAAAGTGCTGCTCTGTTGAAACTTGAGAGATATAAAACAGCATTGTAATAGTCTTCCAGTCTCAGTAATAAGGTATATTTCTTCTGTCCAGCTCTTTTTAGCTTAGTAAACAGACTGTGTCCTCCTTAGAAGACATGAACATTTTATTTTTATACCAGTGAGTTTCCTTATTACCCTGTGTTGCTCCAAGAGGAGTGAGAGATCAGACTAAAGCCAGCCTTGCTGCTGCTTCTGGTGTGAAATACTTGGATCACTAAGAGACACATATGTGGATACTCAATGCCTCTTTGTAGAAGCAAGTGAAAACCGTTGCTCTTTAGAAGGGAATCACAACCCCTCCTAAAATGTTGAACTGTTGTCTCTTGCAGGAATGTTGAGGTTTTTGGAAAGCCAGTTTGATGGGATTCTGAAACCAGGCCTGGCCACTGTGTCCCAGCTTTTGGGTGATTCAGATGTGCAATTCCGTCTCCCTGTTTGAAAAACTGGGATAATGCCTACCAGAAAGGTAGACTGGAGAATAAAATAGGGCATTATACAATATGCCCTGAGGCATTTTTATTTCACTTTAATGTTTCTTTAATAGAGATGTATTTTAGAGTTAGTGGATTCATTTAGTGTAGCAGCATTTCTCCTGCCAACCTAGGGATCAATTTTTATGATCAGTGGTATCCAACTGAGGAAATAACAGTACTAACAAGTTCAATGTAATGTCAAGGGCAGTACACATTCAATAAGTAGCTGCTGTCATTTTCCTTTATTGAGTAGAATTATGGGAAGAAGTCACCACGAGGACATTGGTCTCTACATAGGAAATTGTTTGAGACAATCACAGACAGATTGGAGGGGAGTCTTCATACTAAGGATAGGAGGCAAGTAAGGTCTGTGATGGTCTGTACTGACTTGAAGAACTAGACATCAAAGGACCAGGAAATTATGTCCTCCATTATCATGTAGTAATATAAATGATGACCGTTGCCTTTTTTATTTGATTTCCAGCCGTGGGGCTCCAACTCAGAACCTACATACTGTCCCTGAGCTTTTGTGCTCAAGGCTAGCACTTTACCCCTTTGAGGTACAGCTCCACTTACAGTTTTTCTGCTGGTTAATTGGAGATAAGTGTCTCACGGACTTTCCTGCTCAGGCTGCCTTCAAACCACTATCCTCAGATCTCAACTCCTGAGTTGCTACTGAGTTGCTAGGATTACAGGCATGAGCCACAAGTGCCAGGCTTGACTGTTGCCTTTTAACATCTCTCTCTCTTTTTTAAAAAACACATTAGTTTTTATTATGATGATTCCAAAGTACAATGTATGTTGAACAAATTACCCTTGTGTTATATTCTCCCTCTTTCCATTCTCCTCCCCTTCCCCATTTTTCATCTGAAGTATTTTTAAAAGAATTGAAGTTGAGTCTCAGCTGCGTTTCGGAGTACTAGCTAGGACCACTTGTTCATTTGTTTGGTCACAGAGTTAAAGGGAGAGCCTGGGTCTGCTCAGTGATAGTTTTAAGTAAAGGATTAGAAGGACTGGTTTTCCAACTGCCCCTCCCCTTTGGGAAAGCTTCCTTCCACAGGCAGACTTGGAGGTGCCACATTGTACTTTATTAACAAGGCCACTTGTCCTTACAGATCTTTTTCTGCAAACACACCCGAAAGACCTATTTTACTTATTTATTTAATTAGCTTGAACTCAGGGCACACCCTCACGGGGCTGGCTTGTTCATGGCCGATTCTCTAACACCCCTTATGAAAGATTTTTTTTTTTTTAAGTGGAGATGTGAATCTTGGATACATGGAACCTAAAATGAGCTCATACTGTACAGTCTCTTATAACCTTTTATATACCGGTTCAAAGACTAGTGGGAGCACATGGAAAGGCTCCAGGAGAGATAGCATCAACTTTAACTCTGTAACTTTCATCAGCAATTCAGGGTACTTGTGGTAGGAAGGCTAGCTGAAGGGTCTGTGAGAATTCCTTTTGGGGTTTTAGCTGTGTGTGTGTGTGTTGTGTGTGTGTGTGTGTGTGTGGTGTGTGTGTGTGTGTGTGTTGTGTGTGTGTGTGTGTGTGTACCAGTTTTGGGGCTTGAACTCAGGGCCTGGGCACTGACCCCGAGCTTCTTTTGCTCAAGACGAGCACTCTACCACTTGAGCCACAGCACCCAGGGCTTCATACATGTTAGGCAAGCACTCTACCACTAAGCCTCATTCCCAGCCCAAGTTTTAGCAGTTTTTCTGGAAGTCTGCATAACATGCTGACTTGATCCCCCTGTTGGGAGTTTGATCTTTTCCAGTGATTTACCATGACAGTGTTGATTGGGGATTTTTTTTTAAAGTGCCAGTTCTTGGGCTTGAACGCTAGTACGCATTCTGTCCTTGAAGTGTTTTTTGTTTGTTTGGTTGGTTTTTTAAAATATATTTTTATTGTGAAAATACTGTACAGAGGGGTTACAATTGCATGGGTAAGATAATGAGCACATTTCTTAACAAGCATTGTAGCCTCCTGCTTTGTTTCCCCTTCCCATCCCTTCCTATCCTTCCCCCCGTCCCCCGTCCCCTGTCCCCCCCCACCAAAGTTGTAAAGTTCGTTTTTGACATAACGACTTGTACATCTCATTGTTGCAATGGGTCCTTTTGTATCCCTGTCTTAACAATTTGTTTTTTCCTTCCCCTCCACATATACTAACATCATATATAGTGAAAGCAGGGGTTATACCGGTTTTCTGTTTTTTAGCCACAGTACCACTCATTGCTGGCTTTTTCAATAATTAATTGGAAATAAGAATCTTGTGGACTTTCCTACCTGGGCTGGCTTTGAACCACAATCCTCAGGTCTCAGTAGCTAGGATTACATGAATGAGCCAATAGTACCTGACTTTAACTTTTTTGTTTATTTTGAGAAAGAATCTTGCTCTGTAGTTAGTCAGGGTAGCCTAAGTGCTAGGATTACAGGACTATACCACCACACCGGACCTCTCCTTTAACTTCTGATTGTTATTTCTTTCTACTAATGCATATACAAATATTGAAACTATATTGTATATTTTACCCATAAGTGAAATTACTCCTTTCTGTATTTGACATTTGTGCCAAAACAGAACATTAATGTTAAATACAGTTGTTATTCAACCTTTGGTATAAAAACTAAAGTAGTTGTTTTTAGAAAGCAAAAGACTTACATTCATAATGTCTAAGGATGACTCCAATGGGCACAGCAAATGTTGTGTTTGCCCTTGGTTCTGTTTGGCTAGTACTTCCAACTATCTGGCCATACCTCATAAATATCAAAGGACCTGAATACCGATTTGAACATACACCGAGGTAGTTCAAATGGTACTTTAATTTTGACATGTCCATTAAATTTCATCACAGGGCAGTGTGAATGTGTATACCTCTTTTCATTTTTCCTTAAATTAGAATGAGGGGAACTGGTGGATTCTAGATTACCAATCAATTTTGTATTAAATTACATGTAAATTGGGGCCAAGAAGAGGGGAAAGAGTCCTTTCCAGCTACTAGCTAGCTGAGTGGTAGGCATTGGACTAGGGGGAGAGGAAAAGCTGTGCTTTCTGCCTTGCAGTGGTGGTGGCCCGGACAGGAAGGGCAGTGTGCATTGTGTAGACTGTGCCCAGGGTACATGCCTCAGGAATGGATCCCCAGCAAAAACTGCTATTCCATTTAAAATTATGAGTCCTGAAATATGTTTCACATCTCTAAGAAAATTATTGCTTCAGATTTAACTTTTCTGTATTACACCCCCCAAAAAGTGTAGCTTCTGCACTGACACTCCCAACACTGTCTGTGGGAATGCCAGCAGCAATGGCCGCCGCCCTCTGGTTAGCCAGAGGAGGCATAAATAACTAGCACATCTTCCCTTCAGGGAACTAATAACTTCACCCCTTAACTTCTAGTCCTGTGGAACTTGGTATCACATAATTGTCACAATGCTGACAAAAGTGGGATGAGAGGTGGCTGAAACTTTAAAATGGATTTTGGCAGGTTAGATTTAAAAAAAAAAAAAAGAAGAAGAAGAAAAAAGTAAGAACAGTGAGAAACCTCCCTGACTGCACTTTGGTCTTCTTCCTGGTGGATCCACTAATGTGTTCAGATGTTCACCATGTGTGGTCATTTAATGGGGCTTATCAGTCAGATGTTGTGAGGTAGCCGACTATACACTTCTTCCTATTTTGTGCTGGATCTAGTACTTGAACTCAGGGCCTGGGCACTATTCCTGAACAACTTTTGCTGAAGGCTAACAGTCTGCTACTTAAGTCACAGCTCCACTACCAGCTTTTCGGTGATAAGTTGGAGATAAGAGTCTGCCTGGGCTGTCCTCCAACCACTGCCCTCAGATCTCAGCCTCCTGAGTAGCTAGGATTACAGGTGTGAGCAATTGGGGGCCAGCTGTGACACTTCATATATCTATATTTATATCTATATCTATATTTCCTTCTCATTTTACCTCTTCCTTTTTTCCTTTCTCTTCTTTCCACTTTTCCCCTCCCCAGGAACTTGTGCAGTTAGACAAGTGGTCTATCACTCAGCTATGTTTCTAGCTCTCAGTGTTTCTTTTCTTTTGTTCTTTCTTTTTAAGGTCCAAGGCTAGAACTCAACTCAATACTTGATACTTTGGCTCATAGTCTAGCTCTCCACCAATTAAGCCATGCTGCCAACCCCCTACTATTTCTTTAATATACACATTTTCCATTGATAACTTTGACCTCAAAGTCATACTCAGTCTGCTGTGCTCTCTAGTTTACTGTTTCCCTCATGTTTTCCCCAAGATTAAATCTGGTAACTTTTTTTTGGTTTTATTCATTCCACAATACATTTACTAGTGCTCAGATCCTAAAAGGTAGGCCTTGAGGTAAGCCGAGCCCGCCATGTGGTAATACCTGCACCGTCACTACCACTCCTAACTCTTGTTTATTCTGGTTTTTGTTTGTTTGTTTTTAAACTAACCATTCCTTCTTTTCTCTTTCAGCAGACATACTCCAGTGAAGTTCATTGTGTTGAAGAAATTCTGAAGGTGAGTTCATTATTACTATTTACCATTTGAAGTGAGTAAACTGTGTACATTCCCTTCAGTGGACAATTGCTGTTCTTAGCTCCCTTCAGTAACAAAGGGAAATTAGAACATTACTGAATTCCTCTCCTCTCCTCTCCTC